TAAATATATCTTTGGCACAATCTCCTTATATCAAAACTCAGTGATCATTATGGAAGAGGAGAGGTAAAGATTGTTAAGTGTGCAAGGCAGTGGATTATGCAAGAGTGTTTCCTGGACACAGCAGTGCCGTAGCTTATATGAATTCACAGCAGAAGAGATAGCATGCAGAAGACTTGTGCAGGTCCATGGCCAACAGAGTTCCACCATGAAGAGGGAGGGGCTGTAAGTAACTACACACAGCCTTGATAGATTGCCAGTGATCCATGGGAGAAGGATGAATGGTATTTTTTAACGGTAGAATCTTCGCTGGGTTCTTACCTTCCAAACATGTATGTGTAGAACAAATTTTACATCATGAGTATAATGAAGGAATAAAACATGCAGCAGAATGTTTGGTGAATTGAAGGCAGGTATGAGATGAGCTGGGGAAGGGTCTTATATCATCAAAATATATTGTGGAAAATACTCAATGAACTATTCCCAATAAGAAGAAAAGACTTTACTCGGAGAAATGTCCTTGTCTGATGATCTAGTACTTATTCTTTAAGAAAACTGAATATTTCAGATAACTAATACTCAAGATATCACAGAAAGTCTAACATTAAATTTAAATCCAGAATTTCATCAAATATTTGTATCTTAAACATATACATTATGATGATGTATTGGCAGCAATGAAAAATTCAATTTCAGATTAGTTTCCCACACAGCATTGTTAACAGCAGCCAAACACATGAAAATTAAAAGTCCATCAGAGGGTAATTGGGTAAAGCAACTATGGTAAATACGAACTATTGAGTGTAGATAATCACAGTATTTATCATTAATCACTTAACACTGATAGGACATGGTAGCTACTGTTTTTGTTTTCATCCCAGAGTCTGGAAGAAAAGTAAATCAGAGCATGAATTTGGTATAATCCTGGGGTACATAGTCCCTGTCTCAAAAAACAAATCATATTCCCAGAGTAATGAATTTTACAAATTCAAAGAACTTCTACAAGCTAAGACAATTTAAACTAGTATATAAAAACATACGTATGTATATATCAAATATATGACTAGGGAGAATATTAATATCTCCTAAAATGTGATTGTATACTACTGCTAGAATCAGGAAATATTCATCTCACTATTTCAGAAATTAGTACAAAATAGGCTTTGTAAATATGGACTTACGTGAGTTGTGTGGAATTCTTCCATTTCCTCTTCTTCATGTTTTGTTGTTGTTCGTAAGTCAGAAATTTCAAGATTAAGCCTAAAAGACATGTTTCAGGTGTTTACTGCATACATTTCATAATATCCAATTAGATTAAAATACAAGTTTGTGAATGAGTTGTGTTTACTGCAAACATTTCAAAATACCCAACCTGAGTCTGAACAAATCTGTGAATGATCATTGGAATTCTGAACAGTTCGACTTACAGTGATTTTGAAACTGTACCCGTCTTTGGGTGGCCCTTCATCTGTACAAACTTTAGAGGTAATATGAACAAATGTGAGTTTTCTTAGTTGTCTTAGGGTTACTGTGTATCAAACTTATAGAATCAAACAGAACACATACACACCTCCACTGAGCGTCAACAACCAAAGTAAACTCTGCATTTCAGGTAAACTAAGTATAGATTTTCCCTCTGGTTACAAAAGTGTGCAATTAGTATGTATTATACAAATTCTATCTTGTCACGGCTGGCTTCCTGGTATGCACTCAACCTGGTCAGTATAGTGCTTTCATCATAGAACTCTGCAGATGATCTCCAACTCCCAAACTCATAGTACAATTCTCAGTGTTCACACAGTGCCTCATGCCTCATGTAGCTAGAAGAAGCCTTAAATAGCGGCGGCCCCATTGTTGTCCTGCTGACACACACAGAACACTGTCATCTGGACTTTCCTGTCATGATAGACTAGAAATGCTCTGAGATGTTTCACCACAATCACCTGTCTATCAAGCTGACTTCTCAGATATCATCTCTGCAGTGGGGAAATGTGATTGACATGGGAAGTGGGTACCACATCATCACTGCTCTAATAACAGTGGTCATGGGCTCATTAGACTATGGAACTTATTCATGGGCATAGGATAGAATCTGGAGTTATGGTTTACATAAGGCACAGAAGATCAGCCTAATGAGACATTCTGATGTGAGCTCATGATACCAGAATGTCCATAAATATGAAGACATCCACGGCTGTGGTCATGAGGTTTCTAGTGCTATTAAATTCTCTTCCCCGGAGTTTGCCAGAAGCGTCCGCATTAAATTCTAACAAGGAATTTGGATCCAGTCTCTAAAATGTTCATTGATATGAAGTTAAAAATAGTGAGATAGTTTATTTAGTGATGGATATCTTTACAAATCATTACTCTTAAGGTTGTGACCTTGTTATTGATTGTATTTTACCAGAATTTACAATGATATTCAAGTGTAAAAATGTTGGGCATGAGAGAGATCCCACACTTTGCCCCACTCATCATTGTTTGAGGAGATTAGTTAATGGCCCTGAAGTCAGCAGCCCCTATCTCCCTATCTCCTATCATCTGCAACACTCAGGAGGATAGACCTTGCCCCTCAACTGGGCAGAAATATAGAGCTGATCCTGCTGGCAGAGGTGTGGGTGAGAACTGCCCCCATTAGTTATCTAACAGCAAGAATGGAAGACAGCTAGCCCTGAGGTCATGAGGGTGAGAGAGCTGCCCCATCCCCCACCTGCTGAAACACTATGCAGTGGGTGTACTGTACCTCCACTAGGCAGTACAATAAAGCCAATTCTTTTGGCAGAGCCAGCCATCTGTGAGCATGGGAGAACTGTCTCCATTACTCATCTGTAACATGGCAGCTTAGGCAAATGAGAGATGCCTTTACTTCTGCCTCAATCATTCCAGAGCCCAAAAATTCCCCCAGCTTCAGTAGATATGGTCCTGTCTCTTATCAGCCGCAGCATTCCAGAGAGAGGCCCCTATACCACAACTAGAAAAAAACAATAGAGTTGCTGCTGATGTGTGGTTTTGGGAGATCTGACAATGAGGACTTGATAGCAGGAGAACTAGTCCTGCCCATGCTTGTCACTGCTAGGGGTGAACTTGGCAGGACAACACAGGAGAGCACACCATGGTGGTGAGGACAAGGGAGAGCTGGCAGGCTGAAAAACCCTGAAGTTGCCCAGGCCAGAACCAGGCATATGACTTGGTCCTCCCCAGCATCTACCAGATCTGTGATCTCTTGGGAAAACTGAATGGACCAGTCCTGCAGACCCCAATCTGCAGGATCTCCACAATCCAGAGAATCAGCAGGATAATAAAGGTTGATTCCATTGATAGTCTACCATCAATAGTGTAGCAGAAACCAGAGGCCTCGAGCCAAACCAGTGACTCTGGGATGAACACTTACTTGCAAGTAAAGATATATGGATAATAGTGCTAGGTCATGGTTGAAAGATTTGAAAAATTAATTCATTACCTATCTATTTCCTTTAGTAGTTTACGCTTTTCCTCTTTCCCATTCTCCAAATGCATTTTCAATTCTTGAATTAATTTATTCTGAAAAAATACATAATGTACATTTTAAATCATATGTATGATATTAAGTATATCTTTGTCAAAATCTCTTAATCCCAAAACTCAGTGATCATTATGGAAGACGAGACGTAAAAATTGTTAAGAGTACAAGGCAGTGGATTATTCAAGAGTGTTTCCTGGACACAGCAGTGCAGTAGCTTATATGAATTCACAGCAGGCGAGATAGCATGCAGAAGACTTGTCCAGCCTCATGGCCAACAGAGTTCCAGCAAGGAGGGGGAGGTGGCTACATATACCCAACCCTAGCCAGCAGAGGTTGTCAGTGATCCATGGGAAAAGGATGAATGGATTTCTTTACAGTTAGAATCTCTGCTGGGTTGTACTGTCCAGTGGATGCTACACATCCAGACATGTATGTGTAGTAAAATTGACACAATGCATTTAAAAAGCAATAAAACATGAAGCTGAGTGTTTGGTGAATTGAAGGCAGGTATGAGATGAGTTGGAGAAGGGTCATATGTCATCAAAATATATTGTTCTCTATTCTCAATGAACTATTTAAAATAAGAAAAAAAGACTGTACTCAGGGAAATGTGCTTGTCTAATGATCTCGTACTTATATCTTTAATAAAGCTAAATATTACAGATAACTAATACTCATGATATCACAGAAAGGCTAAGGGTAAAATGAAATCCAAATTTTCTTCAAATGTTTATGAATATCTTATAGATACACATTATGATGATGTATTGGCAGGGATGATAATTTCAATTTGACATTAGATTTTCATACAGCATTGTTTACAATAGCCAAATACATGAAAACTAAGAGTCCATCAAGTGGCAAATGGTTAAGCCGAGTATGGTACATATGAAATACTGATTGTAGAACAATCACAGTTGTTTTCATTAATCACTTAATGCCAGTAGGACATGGTAGCTTATGTTTTTGTTTTCATCCCAGAAGTCTGGAAATAAAGTCAATCACAGCATGAATTTGGAGTTTGCCTGGGATACATATTCACATTCTCAGAGGCTAGCCTTGGCTACATAGTCCTTATCTCAAAAAACCTTATTTCATATCTCAGAGTAATAAATTTTGCAAATTAAGAGAAATTCTGTAAGCTCAGAGAATTAAAACTACTATTTACAAACATTTACAATATGAATATACCAAATGTATGACCAGGGAGAATATTCTTATCACTGAAAATTATCTTCTTAGTCTTGCAGAAAGTAATACAAAATGAGCTTAATAAATATGGACTTACTTGGTTTTTCTGACACTTTCTACTTTCTTCTGCTTGACAATTTGTTGTTGCTTGTAACTCAGAATATTCTTCTTCAAGCCTAAAATACATATTTCAGAATGAGTGTGTTTCCTGAACACATTTTTAAACACACAATTATAATCTGAACAATACTGTGAATGATCATAGGAATGCTGAACATTTTGAAACACAGTGATTTTGAAACTGAACAGTCTTTGTGTGACCCTTTGTACCGACTTTACAAGTAATATGAGCAAATATGAGCTTTCTTATTTGTCTTAGTTTGTGTCAAACTTACAGATTCAAACATACAACACATACACACCTCCACTGAGCTTCAACAACCAAAGTAAACCCTGAATTTCAGGTGAACTAAGTGTGAATTTTCCGGCTGGTTTCAAAAGTGTGCAACTAGTATGAATTATCTAAGTTCTCTCTTGTCACAGTTTGCTTGCTGGTATGTACTGAATCTATTCAGTACAATGATTTCATCACAGTACTCTGCAGATGATATCCATCTCCCAAACTCATAGTAAAATTCTCAGTTTTCATACATTGCCTCATTCCTCATGCAGCTAGAAGAAGCAATAACTAGGCACTACCCATGGCCCTGCTGCCACACACACAACACTGTCATCTGGCCTTTCCTGACATTGTAGACTGGAAATGCTCTGAAATGTTTAGCCAAAATCAAATTTCCTCTATCAAGTTGACTTCTCAGATATCATCTCTTCAGTGAGGAAACATGATTGACATGGGAAGTTGGTACCCTACCAGCAATGTTATAATAAAATTGGCCATTGCCTCATTAGATTTCAGGAAATTATTCATGGGCATAGGAAAGAATCTAGAGCTACAGTTTACAGAGGGGTCAGAAAAAGATCATCCTAATGAGACATTCTGATGTGAGCTCATGATACTAGATCAAGGGCTGTGATCGTGAGATTTCTTGTGTTATTAAATACTCTTCCTGAGAGTTAGCCAGAAGCATCCCCATTATATTCTATCAAGGAATTTGGATCCATTCTCTGAAATGTTCATTGATGTGGAATTAAAAATAGAGGGATTTAGTGGATGAAATATTTTGCAAATCATAACCCTCAAGGCTGTGACTTTGCTATTCTTTTTGGTTTTAGCAGAGTTCACAGAGTTATTCAGGTTTTAAAAAGTTGGGAAGGAGAGATCATATGGCTTGCCAACCCAACAATGCTTGAGGAGAGTGGGAGTACTGGCCATGAAGTCAAAACAGCATAAGGACATAAGAGCAGCAGTTCCTCTCCCTGTCTGCCACCATCTGCAACATTCAGGAGAGTAGACCTTGCCCCTCACCTGGGCAGAGATATAGAGCTGATCCTGGTGGCAGAGGTGTGGGTGAGAACTTCCCCCATTAGTTATCTAACAGCAAGAATGGAAGACAGCTAGCCCTGAGGTCATAATGGTGAGAGAGCTGCCCCATCCCCCACCAGCTGAAACACTATGCAGTGGATGTACTGTCCCTCCACTGGGCAGTATAATAAAGCCAATTGTTTTGGCAGAGCCAGCCATCTGTTAGCATGGGAGAACTGTCTGTATTACTCAATTGTAACATGGCAGATTAGGCAAATGAGAGATGCCTTTACTTCTGCATCAAACAACCATTCCAGAGCTCATTAATTCCCCCAGCTTCAGTAGAGGTGGTCCTGTCTCTCATCAGCCGCAGTACTCCAGAGAGAGGCCCCTATACCACTCCTGGAAAAAAACAGTAGAGTAGCTACTGATGTGTGGTTTTGGGAGACTTGACACTGAGGACTTGATAGAAGGAGAAATTTTCCTGCCCCTTGCTTGTCACCGCTAGGGGTGAACTTGCCAGGAAAAGACAGGAGAGCTCACCCTGGTGGTGAGGACAAGAGAGATCTGGCAGGTGGAACAACCCTGAAGGTGCCCAGGCCAGAACCAGGCATGTGAGTTGGCCTGCCCCAGGATACAGCCTGACTGTGATCTCCTGGGAAAACTGAACCTACCAGTCCTGCAGACCCCAATCTGCAGTATCTCCACAACCCAGACAATCAGCAGGATAATAAAGAGTGATTCCACTGACAGCCTAGCATCGATAGTGTAGCATAAACCAGAGATCTTGAACAAACCAATGACTCTGTAATGAACACTTACTTGCAAATAAAGATATATGGATAATAGTGCTAGGTCATGGTTGAAAGATTTGAAAAATTAATTCATTACCTATCTATTTCCTTTAGTAGTTTACTCTTTTCCTGTTTCCCATTCTCCAAACGCATTTTCAATTCTTGAATTAATTTATTCTGAAAAAAATACATAATGCACATTTCATAATTATATGTAAGATATTAACTATATCCTTGTCAAAATATCTTATTCCCAAAACTCAGTGATCATTATGGAAGATGCGATGTAAAGATTTTTAAGAGTGCAAGGCAGTGGATTATGCAAGAGTGTTTCCTGGATACAACAGGGCAGTAGCTTATATGAATGCACAGCAGGTGAGATAGCATGCAGTACACTTGTGCATGTTGGTGGCCAACAGAATTCCAGCAAGGAGAGGGAGGTGGCTACATATACCCAACCCTAGCCAGGAGAGGTTGTCAGTGATCCATGGGAAAAGGATGAATGGATTTCTTTACAGGTAGAATCTTTGCTGGGCTTTACTGTACACTGGATGCTATACATCCAGACATGTATGTATACTAAAATTGACATAATGCATTTAGATAGCAATAAAACATGTAGCACAGTGCTTGGTGAATTGAAGGCAGGTATGAGATGAGTTGAGCAAAGGTAATATATCATTGAAATGTATTGTTGAATATTCTCAACGAACTATTTAAAATAAGAAAAAAAGACTGTACTCAGGGAAATGTGCTTGTCTAATGATCCCATAGGTATACTTTAAGAAAGCTAAATATTACAGATAACTAATACACAAGGTATCACAGAAAAGCTAAGGGTAAAATGAAACCCAAATTTTCATCAAATGTATATGTATATCTTGTAGATATACATTATGATTATGTATTGGCAGGGATAATAATTTCAATTTGATATTAGTTTTTCATACAGCATTGTTTACAATACCCAAATACATGAAAATTAAGAGTCCATCAAAAGGCAAATGGTTAAGCCAAGGATGGTACATATGAAATACTGATTGTAGAAAATCACTGTAGTTTTCATTAATGACTTAGAGCCAGTAGGACATGGTAGCTTATGTTTTTGTTTTCATCCCAGAAGTCTGGAAATGATGTCAATCACAGCATGAACTTGGAGTTTGCCTGGGATACATATTCACATTCTCAGAGGCTAGCCTTGGCTACATAGTCCTTATCTCAAAAAACCTTTTATGATATTCAGAGTAATAAATTTTGCATATTCAGAGAAATTCTGTATGCTCAGAGAATTGAAACTATTATTTACAAACAGTTACAACATGAATATACCAAATATATGACCAGGGTGAATATTCTTATCACTAAAAATTATCTTCTTAGTCTTTCAGAAATTAATTCAAAAATGGGCTTAATAAATATAGACTTACATGGTTTTTCTGACACTTTCTACTTTCTTCTGCTTGACAATTTGTTGTTGCTTGTAACTCAGAATATTCATGTTCAAGCCTAAAATACATTATTTCAGAATGAGTGTGTTTCCTGAACACATTTTTAAACACACGATTATATTCTGATCAATACTGTGAATTATCATAGGAATGCTGAACATTTTGAAATACAGTGATTTTGAAACTGAACAGTCTTTGCATGAACCTTTGTACCAGCTTTACGAGTAACATGAGCATATATGAGCTTTCTTATTTGTCTTGGTGTGTGTCAAACTTACAGATTCAAATATACATCACATACACATCTCCACTGAGCTGCAACAACCAAAGTAAACCCTGAATTTCAGGTGAACTAAGTTCCAATTTTCCCGCTGACTTCAAAAGTGTGTAAGTAGTATGAATTGTCTAAGTTCTTTCTTGTCACAGTTTGCTTGCTGGTATGCACTGAATCTATTCAGTACAATGCTTTCATCATAGTACTCTGCAGATGATATCCATCTCCCAAACTCATAGTAAAAATCTCAGTTTTCATACAGTGCCTCATGCCTCATGCACCTAGAAGAAGCAATAACTAGGCACTACCCATGGCCCTGCTGCCACACACACAACACTGTCATCTGGCCTTTCCTGACATTGTAGACTGGAAATGCTCTGAAATGTTTAGCCAAAATCAAATTTCCTCTATCAAGCTGACTTCTCCGATATCATCTCTTCAGTGAGGAAACGTGATTGACATGGGAAGTTGGTACCCTACCAGCAATGCTATAATAAATTGGCCATGGGCTCATTAGACTTCAGGAAATTATTCATGGGCATAGGAAAGAATCTAGAGCTACAGAAACAGAAGGGCCAGAAGAAAATCATCCTAATGAGACATTCTGTTGTGAGCTCATGTTACTAGAATGTCCATAAAAATGCAGACATCAAGGGCTGTGATCGTGAGGTTTCCGGTGTTATTAAATACTCTTCCTGACAGTTGGCCAGAAGCATCCACATTACATTATTTCAAGGAATTTGGATTCATTCTCTCAAATGTTTTTGATATGGAATTAAAAATAGAGGGATTTAGTGGAGGAAATATTTTGCAAATCATTACTCTCAAGGCTGTAACTTTGTTATTGTTGGTTTTACCAGAGTTTACAGAGTTATTCAAGTTTTAAAAAGTTTGGCACCAGAGATCAAATGCCTTGCCAACCCATCAATGCTTGAGGACAGTGGGAGTACTGGCCATGAAGTCATAACAGCATAAGGACACAAGAGCAGCATTTCCTCTCTCCCTGTCTGCCACCGTCTGCAACACTCAGGAAAGTAGAACTTGCCCCTCACCTGTGCAGATATACAGAGCTGATCCTGCTGGCAGAGGTGTCGGGAGAACTGCCTCCATTTCTTTTCTAACAGCATGAATCCAAGAGAGCTAGCCCTAAGGTTATAAGCGTGGGAGAGCCGCCCCTGTCCCCCACCTGTTGATAGACTAATCAGGGGATATACTATAACTCCATTGGGCAGTAGAGTAAAGCCAGTTCTTGTGATAGAGCCAGCCCTATATCTGAGAGCATGGGAGGACTGTCCCCATTATTCATCTGTAACATGGCGGCTTTGGCAAAGGAGAGGTGTCCTTTACTTCTGCCCCAACCCATACTCCCAGCCCATAAATTCCCCAGGCTTCATTAGAGCTGGTCCTGCCATTCATCAGCTGCAGCACTCTAGAGAGAGGCCCATATACTACACCTTGACAACATGGTAGAACTGTACTTGCAAATTTGCATGTAGGAGATTTGATACACTGGGGACTCAGAAGCAAGAGTCCTGCCCTGTGTTCATCACTACAAGGGGTCAAATTGCCAGGACAACACAGGAGAGCTCACCCTGCTGGTGAGGACAAGTGAGCCCTGGCAATCTGACCAACCCTGGGACTATACAGGCCCTGCACCAGGCATATGAATGGCTCACCCCATCATCCAACCCATCTGTGACCTACTGGGACAACTGAAGGGACCAGTCTTGCAGACCCCAATCTGCAGAATCTCCACAACACAGAAAATCAGCAAGACAATAAACATTGATTCCACTGACAGCCCAGCATTGATAGTGAAGCAGAAACCAGAGGCCTCAAACCAGACCTATGACTCTGCAATCAACACTTGCAAGTAAACATATAAGGATCAAGGAGTTTGGACATGGATGAGTGATTTGAAAATGAATTTCTTACCTAGCTATTTCTTTTCGTAGTTTAATGATTTTTTCATTCCGATTCTCCAAATGCTGTGTCAATGTTTGAAATGATTTATTCTGAAAAAATTGCATATATGTACATTTTTAAATCACATGAATAATATTAAATATATCTTTGGCAAAATCTCCTTATCCCAAAACTCAGTGATCATTATGGAAGAGTAGAGGTAAAGATTGTTAAGTGTTCAAAGCAGTGGATTATGCTAGAGTGTTTCCTGGACACAGCAGTGCCGTAGCTTATATGAATTCACAGCAGAAGAGATAGCATGCAGAAGGCTTGTGCAGGTTCATGGCCAACAGAGTACCCCCATGAAGAGGGAGGGGCTATAAATAACTACACATAGCCTGGAGAGGTTGGCAGTGATCCATGGGAGAAAAATGAATGATGTTTTTAAGGGTAGAGTCTTTGCTGTGTTCTTACCTTCCAAACATGTAGGTGTAGCATAAATTTTACATCATGAGTGTAATGAAGGAATAAAACGTGCAGCAGAATGTTTGGTGAATTGAAGGCAGGTATGAGATGAGCTGGGGAAGCATCATATATCATCAAAATATATTGTGGAAAATACTCAATGAACTATTCTCAATAAGAAGAAAAGACTTTACTCGGAGAAATGTCCTTGTCTAATGATCTAGTACTTATTCTTTAAGAAAACTGAATATCTCAGATAACTAATACTCAAGATAACACAGAAAGTCTAACGTTAAATTGAAATCCAAAATCTATAACATATTTATATGTTATAGACATACATTATGATGATGTATTGGCAGGGATCAAAAATTCAATTTGAGATTAGTTTTCTACCCCGCGTTGTTAACAGTAGCCAAAGACATGAAAATTAAGAGTCCACCAATGGGTAATTGGGCCAGCCAACCATGGTAAATACAAACTATTGAGTGTAGATAATCACAGTATTTACCATTAATTGCTTAACACTGATAGGACATGGTAGCTACTGTATTTGTTTTCATCCCAGAGTCTGGAAGTAAAGTAAATCACAGCATGAACTTGGAATGAGCGTGGGCTACACAGTCCGTCTCAAATCAAATCATATTCCCAGAGTAATGAATTCACAGAACTGCTGCAAGCTAAGACAATTTAAACTAGTATTTAAAAACAGATACCGATGGATATATCAAATATGTGACTAGAGAGAATATTAATATCTCCTGAAATGTGATTGTATACTACTGCTAGAATCAGGAAATTTTAATCTCACTCTTTCAGAAATTAATACAAAATAGGGTTTGTAAATACGGACTTACGTGATTTGTGTGGCATTCTTCAATTTCCTCTTCTTGATGTTTATTTGTTGCTTGCAAGTCAAAAATTTCAAGGTTAAGCCTAAAATACATGTTTCAGATGTTTACTGCACACATTTGATAATATCAAATTAGATTAAAATACAAGTTTAAGAATGAGTTGTATTTACTGCAAACATTTAAAAATACCCAACCAGATTCTGAACAAAACTGTGAATGATCATAGGAATTCTGAACAGTTTGAGTTGCAGTGATTTTGAAACTGTACCAGTCTTTGGGTGGCCCTTTCTCTGTACATACGTTAGAGGTAATATGAACAAATGTGCATTTTCTTAGTTGTCTTAGTGTTACTGTGTATCCAACTTAAAGATCAAACACAACACATACCCACCTCCAATGAGCTTCAACAACCAAAGTAAACTCTGCATGTCAGGTGAACTAAGTACAGATTTTCCCTCTGATTTCAAAAGTGTGCAATTAATATGTATTATACAAATTCTATCTTGTCTCGGCTGGCATGCTGGCATGCACTTAACCTATTCAGTACAGTGCTTTCATCATAGAACTCTGCAGAAGATCTCCATCTCTCAATCTCATAGTACAATTCTCAGTGTTCACACAGTCCCTGATGCCTCATGTAGCTAGAAGAAGCATTAACTAGTGGCGGCCCCATTGTCCTAGTGACACACACTGAAAACTGTCATCTGATCTTTCCTGTCATGATAGACTAGAAATACTCTCAGATGTTTCACCACAACCACCTTTCTATCAAGGTGACTTCTCAGATATCGTCTCTGCACTGGGGAAACGTGATTGACATGGAAAGTGGGTACCACATCATCACTGCTCTACTAACAGTGGCCATGGGCTCATTAGATATGGAACTTATTCATGGGCATAGGATAGAATCTGGAGCAATGGTTTACATAAGGCGCAGAAGATCAGCCTAATGAGATATTCTGTTGTGAGCTCATGATACCAAAATGTCCATAAAAATGAAGACATCGAGGACAGTGATCATGAGGTTTCTTGTGTTATTAAATACTCTTCCTGAGAGTTGGCCAGAGGCGACCAATACATGCTTTCAAGGAATTTGGATCCAGTCTCTGAAATGTTCATTTATATGAAGTTAAATATAGCGGGATAGTTTATTTAGTGGTGAAAATCTTTACAAATCATTACCCTTAAGGCTGTGAGGTTGTTACTGTTTGTATTTTACCAGAATTTACAATGATATTCAAGTGTAAAAATGTTGGGCATGAGAGAGATGCCATGCTTTGTCGCACCCATCATTGTTTGAAGAGATTGGGTTAATGATCCTGAAGTCAGCAGCCTCTATCTCCCTATCTCCTATCATCTGCAACACTCAGGAGGGAAGACCTTGCCCCTCTCCTGGGCAACAAAGTAGAGCTGATCCTGCTGGAAGAGAGGTGGGTGAGAACTGCCCCTATTAGTTATCTAACAGCAGGAATGGAAGACAGGTAGCCCTGAGGTCATGAGGGTGAGAGAGCTGCCCCTGTCCCCCACCAGCTGAAACACTATGCAGTGGATGTACTGTCCCTCCACTGGGCAGTACAATATAGCCAATTCTTTTGGCAGAGCCAGCCATCTGTGAGCATGGGAGAACTGTCTGAGTTACTCATCTGTAACATGGCAGCTTAGGCAAATGAGAGATGCCCTTCCTTCTGCCTCAAACAACCATTTCAGAGCCCATAAATTCCCCCAGCTTCAGTAGATATAGTCCTGTCTCTCATCAACCTGCAGCACTCCAGAGAGAGGCCCCTATACCACACCTGGAAAAAACAGTAGAGTTGCTGCTGATGTGTGGGTTTTGGAGATCTGACACTGAGGACTTGATAGCAGGAGAACTAGTCCTGCCCCTTGTTTGTCACTGCTAGGGGTGAACTTGCCAGGACAACACAGGAGAGCTCACCATGGTGGTGAGGACAAGGGAGAGCTGGCAGGCTGAACAACCCTGAAGTTGCCCAGGCCAGAACCAGGCATGTGAGTTGGCCCACCCCAGCATCCACACTGTCTGTGATCTGGGAAGACTGAATGGACCGGTCCTGCAAACCCCAATCTGCAGGATCTCCACAACCCAGACAATCAGCAGGACAATAAAGATTGATTCCACTGACAGCCTATCATATAGATAGTGTAGCAGAAACCAGAGGCCTCAAACCAAACCAATGACTCTGTGATGAACACTTACTTGCAAGTAAAGATATATGGATAATAGTGCTAGGTCATGGATGAAAGATTTGAAAAGTTAATTCATTACCTATTGATTTCTTTTAGTAGTTTGCTCTTTTCTTCTTTCCCATTGTTCAATCGCATTGTCAATGCTTGAATTGACTGTTTCTGAAAAAAGTACATAAAGTACATTTTAAAATTATATGTATGATATTAAATATATCTTTGGCAAAATCTCTTAATCCCAAAACTCAGTGATCATTATGGAAGAGGAGATGTAAAGATTGTTAAGACTGCAAGACAGTGGATTATGCAAGATTGTTTCCTGGACACAGCAGTGCAGTAACTTATATGAATTCACAGCAGAAGAGATAGAATGCAGAAGGTTTGTGCAGGCTCATGACCAACAGAGTTCCACCAAGAAGAGGGAGGGGCTATATATACCTACGGATAGCCTGGAGAGGTTGGCAGTGATCCATGGGAGAAGGATGAATGATGTTTTTTAAGGGTAGAATCTTTGCTGGGTTGTCACCTTCCAAACATGTATGTGTAGCACAAATTTTACATCATGAGTATAATGAAGGAAAAAAACTTGCAGCAGAATGTTTGGTGAATTGAAGGAAGGTATGAGATGAGTTGGGGAAGGGTCATGTATCATCAAAATATATTGTGGAAAATACTCAATGAACTATTTACAACAAGAAGAAAAGACGTTACTCTGAAAAATGTCCTTTTCTAATGCTCTAGTACTTATTCTTTAAGAAAACTGAATATTTCAGATAACTTATACTCAAGATATCACAGAAAGTCTAACGTTAAATTGAAATCCAAAATTTCATCAAATATTTATATGTTATAGATATACATTATGATGATGTATTGACAGGGATCAAACATTCAATTTGAGATTAGTTTTCCACACAGCAGTTGTTAACAATAGCCAAACACATGAAAATTAAGAGTCCATCCATGGGTAATTGGGTCAGCCAACTATGGTAAATACAAACTATTGAGTGTAGATAATCACAGTATTTACCATTAATCGCTTAACACTGATAGGACATGGTAGCTACTGTTTTTGTTTTCATCCCAGAGTCTGTAAGTAAAGTAAATCACAGCATGAATTTGGTATGAGCCTGGGCTACATAATCCCTGTCTCAAAAAACAAATCATATTCCAAGATTAATGAATTTTACAAATTCAAACAACTTCTGCAAGCTAAGAAAATTTAAACTAGTAATTACAAAGAGATACATATGAATGTACCAAATATGTGACTAGGGAGAATATTAATATCTCCTAAAATGTGATTGTATACTACTGCTAGAATCAGGAAATACTTATCTCACTCTTTCAGAAATTAATACAAAACAGGCTTTGTAAATATGGACTTACATGATTTGTGTGGAATCCTCGAATTTCCTCTTCTTGATGTTTAGTTGTTGCTTGTAAGTCAGAAACTTCAAAGGTAAGCCTAAAATACATGGTTCAGATGTTTACTGCACATATTTGATAATATACAGTTAGATTAAAATACAAGTTTAACACTCAGATGTGTTACTGCAAACATTTAAAAATACCCAACCAGATTGTGAACAAAACTGTCAATGATCATAGGAATTCTGAACAGTTCAACTTACAGTGATTTTGAAACTGTACCAGTTTTGGGTGTCCCTTTGTCTGTACACACTTTAGAGGTAATATGAACAAATGTGAGTTTTCTTAGTTGTCTTAGTGTTAGTGTATCAAAAATATAGATACACACACAACACATACATACCTCCACTGAGATTCAACAACCAAAGTATACTCTGTATTTCATGTAAACTAAGTACCGATTTTCCCTCTGGTTCAAAAAGTGTGCAATTAGTATGTATTATACAAATTCTATCTTGTCACAGCTGGCTTCCTGGTATGCACTCAACCTATTCAGTACAGTGCTTTCATCATAGAACTCTGAAGAGGGTCTCCATCTCTCAAACTCATAGTACAATTCTCAGTGTTCACACAGTGCCTCATGCCCCATGTAGCTAGAAGAAGCCTTAACTAGGGGCAGACCCATTGTCCTGCTGACACACACAGAACACAGTCATCTGACCTATCCTGTCATGGTAGACTAGAAATGCTCTGAGATGTTTTCACAAC